CCCTCCCCCCGCCGCTGGGGGGGCAGCCCCGCCCGCGCCCCCCGGGCGGAGGGGGCCGCGGGGGGCGCCCCCGCGCTGCCGCACCTGGCGGGGTCGGGCGCCTGCCTTGCCCCGCGCGGCGAGAGGCCGCCCCCGTCCCGGCCCGGCGGGGGCGCTTCCAGAACGCACGCGTCTCGCACCCCACGCACGCGCCCGCCTCGCCACCCGCGCACGTGCATGGCCCGCGAGAGGCAGCCCCCCCGCGCGGGCTTTCCCTGCCGCCGGCCCCGAAACGCGCCGCGAGCGTGGCGGGCGGAATCCCCTCTTTTCCCAGCGCTGGGTCCAAGCGCGCAAGCCATTAATTCAGATTAATCGCCCCGTAACATCCCTCAGCGGTCCGGTAATGCATCCCCCGGTTGGGAGGCGGGTCATCGCAGGTCCTGCCGAGTCAGATGCTTCCTGGCCCGAAACCATCGTGGACATGGTGGTAATGAAACTCCAGAAGGAAAGGTTTCCGACTGCAGTAAAGCTTCCCCTAACCGTGCCTGATTTCCTTGCTAAAAAGGCGATGCGTTGGTCCTTGTCCAGTCTGCGATTCTTTGCTGAGGTTTTCAGCTGTGGTGCCAAACACCACGGTCATGCCACACCCAGCGGCTGAGATGTCACAGACCTTCTGAGCATCACTGCCACATGAATACCCAGCGGTAGCTTGCAAATCTGATACTGCTGCTCTGCTGTAAGCAAAGCTAGCGAGCGAACCTGAACAGTCCTCGCCCAGATGCTACCAAGGGGGACCGGTTTGGCCACATGCTACATCAGTCCTCATTCTTTGCGAGATGTGGCTTCACAAAGCCCCAGACAGCTGCTGCATATCCAGCATCCTCAAAACCTCTGAAGTATTAATCCATCGGCATCCATTCAAGCCTTACCCTCCACCGGCATGGTGGAGACGTAGAATTTTGGACTATTGCTGGTAGTTCAGTTTTGAACTACATATTCTAAACTTGGGTGCAAGTTATATTTTACCTCTCATTGGAGATTTGTCTGAGAAAATCTACTTACACCTACCTACCCCGATCTCCTACAAACTTTTTTCTGCCATACTGTTCAGACCTTTGCCATTGATACCTGGAAATCAACATTTTAATTGTACTAACTTATTTATGTTGCCTAGCAGTAATTTCATTATAATGGTCACCCAGAGAGCATGATGCTAATGGGCAGCCTTTAAATAAATAGAAATAAATGAAAAATTTAAAAATAAACAGATCTAGTGACTGTCACTTGCACCTTTGTCAGCCTTTGGTCCCCATTGGGGCTTTGAGAATGTTTAAAATTCTTAGGTGCCACCACTGGTTTGGTGGTATCCCAAATCAGTTACTTGTCATCTAGTCTTGCAGGTAAAAACACACCCCTGTACTGTCCCAGCAATACTAACCACAGCCAGCTGTGACCCGCTGTTGTTGCTGAAGGTTCACACAATTGCCCCAGCCAAGGGTGGCGATTCATGTGTGTGTGCGTGTCTTCCAACAGCCATTTTGCACATTCATACCATGGCAAGCGGTTGGCTTTTTTGTGATACCGGAACCTAGAGAGGGTGCATTGTTGTCATGGTTAGTAAACCAAGAATTGTGTGCACTTTGGGGGCCCACCCTGCTTGGCTGGTGGTAAGCAGTGGGGACTGCCCCTCGTGTCTCGGATCGTCCAAAATATGCCGGGCATGCGCCGCACCCTGCTAGGACTCCACAGTAAGCTGAGGAGGGCAGCCAATACTGTGCTGTAACCACTTGGGTGGGTGTGTTTGCATCTCCTGAGTAGGTGGTTCTCATCAAATTCTGTTGCTTAATCGTGGTAGATACAGCTCCTCAAATGGAGCGTGGGCCACTTGTAGTCCTCTAGAAGTTTGGCCTTCAACTCCCATCAGTGTTGGCCACAATGGGAAGAAACAAGGGGAGTTTGTTTATTTCTGGAGGGCCCCCAGCGGCTTCTCCATGTCTTAAATGGCCTTTGCTCAGACTTCTCGCTTGATGAACTGCGCCTGGCCGTTGACTCCTCCCTCTGGCAGGTGCCTCGTGAATGCTCCCTCACCAGCCCCCCCGGGACCACTGTGAGCCTCTCCATCTGTTCGTGGGCCTCCTGCCTCCTTGACCATCGGCTGCTGCGGGCGCGCGCTCATTTGAGTGCCGTGCCCCATTGCCGTCCACCCCTAGATTTGCTCAGTACTCGGTTATTTCTCCAAGTGGGAACTTTGGCTGCATTCCCATGCACACCTCTCCGATAATAAACCCCATTCAGGGCGAAGCCCACCTGTGCATGCTTTCTTCCTCCCCTGGCCTGCTGTCGCATGAGTGTGGGAGAGACCCCTGGCCCCGGCCCCTCGCTGGTGTTCTGGCCACTGGCTTCCTTGCTTCCCATGCACTGAGCAGGTGACCTTCTGCAGCAGGCTGGTTGTATTCATGAAGAGGTCCAGTCTGGATGGCCTTGGTGCCCAGCGTGTGGAAAGCCTCTTCTTGCAGCCATCTGCCTTCCAAGGCCTGGAGGGTGTCAAGGGGCGGCACGGTGTGGGGCTCACACTCCCCCCCCCACCCCCGCATTGTGTGAGAGCTGTCGTCCCTGTTACGGGATTTACACAGAACCCCGCCACACTGCCTGGTTGTCCAAACCTATCACTGCATGGCTGGTATCACCCTTGAAGTTGGAATTGGTCTTCAAAGGACAGGGTAACCCATGCAGTGGTTCTGCTCAGGATGGGCCAGGGGTTTAGACGGTCGCTGGTGGTTTGCTGCAGTTTTTGTTTGTTTGTTTGTTTTTTTAAATGGAGGGACATGATCACAAATCCGAAGTTAATGCCAAACTGCTCTGAGTTTTTGCTCAGAAAACAAGTGTTGTCCTTTAATGCATCACTCTGTAGCCCCCTTGGAATTGGAAAAGAGAAGCAGGATGTTGAAAGGAGGTCTGTGAACCCTTTGAGGCCAATAAATAAAGTAGCTGAAATGTAGCTCCTCTTTACAGTAGCTGAAATGAAGGCAGAAATAAGTTAGCCGTGCAGGGCGCATGCCTGGGTGTCAGCTGTGATTACCCAGTGGGGCAGAAACAAAGGTTTATCACATACATGCGCCCATCTTTTACCATCGCCTTCCCTTTTGTTTACATTTTCTGTGTCCAGGGCTAGTGACACCCTAATTTACTGTTCAGATTAAAACAATGTGCCTATTATAATGCAGTCCTTAATTTATAGACACAGCAGATGGCCGTTCTTGTGTGCTCATTCTGAGAATTATACAATTTCTCCAATAATAGGGAATTTTCTGTATCCTTGGAAATGTTCACATGCAGGCTGGAAGATCTCAGGCATCTTGACGAATTGATTTTATTTAAGGGGAATGTAGTTTAATGTTACTTTAACGAATCCCAGTGTTTCAAGGAGTGTGGCAGTACTCCAGGTTGCAAAATATCTTCATGTTTTTCTGGCTGACTCCAGACTAATTTTGCAGATATCATGCTTTTTCATCTGG